ATGTGTTGTAATATACAAAACAGTTCTGTTGAACAACACAAAATTGCCAAAACGCTATTTCCACAGTTTCTGTAAAGTTGAGTCAACAGTTCCATTTATATTTGGGTGTTTTTAATTCGGCCACCCAGTATGATGTTGGAGGTAGAATTTATGCAGGGATTATTTTGAGCATGTTTTTAATTTGATCGTTAATTATCTCTCGTATTTAGAAAAGGGACATTATCATTACATAGGATGAACATCAATATTTATTGAATCACCACCACGGGGTTAGATTAGAAGCGAAATATTCACCCTTCCTTGCAAAAGCTGATTCAGTGAAACACCCGCCACCAACCAGTAGTTTTAATAAGATTATACAGAGAAGAATAAAGACTGATTTTCTGCAATGTCACATGATACATTACCATGGAAAATGGTTTAAATCTATTGTGTTGCTTATTTTAATTCCTTCCGTGCTTGTCAATATAAGATAATGAATATGTCCTCAGTTTTCAGTGGAAGGACGAGGGACACTTTAAATTTAATGCTGGGGAGGGTCTCAAAACATGATTGTATTGTTGGACCGCGACATCTGGCCATGGCATAACCTGTTTGTTATGTGCATTTAATTTCAGCCTTGGTTTATCTTAAAAAGTGTTGTTTTAGTTTTATTTATGGAATATATTGAGATTATATTTTTACTCAAAACATCTATAGATATACAGGGTGGGGCAATAGTGCGTCGGACTTCGATATCTCGAGTTCCACGATAGACAGAAATTAAAAAAAAATAAAAGTAAACTAGATAAAAAAAGTCTATAACCGGAAATTATTTTCGAATATACAGGACGAGCCAAGAAGAAACTGCAGGATCAAGTGCCTTTTTTTAAATGGAACGCTATGTACATCAGTACATTTTTTGAAGCCTTTTCTAGACTCTATTTATTCCTATATTATTATTGATCATCTCCCAACCACTTGGATGCAATGAATTTTTTTGTTGAAATAATGCCCTCTGCAGATGCATATTGAAAAAATCACCAAAATCACCAATATGGGTTTAAAAAAAACTTATGTGCATACCTGTTACGAGACATCTAATTAATGTTTTTGAATCATTTTTACTTCTTAAAAATATACAGGGTGGAAAAATTATTTTTCAATTAAGAACTTTTTAAATTGAGTTTTCTCAATTTTTTCAAATGTACACCTGTATTTTGTCGACGATGTGATGTAGAAATGAAAAACGAAATAAACTTAAAATGGAATAGAGGTTTTTTCAAATAATTCATTAGAAAAAATTATAATACGTGTTCCACATGTTGCCCATTTTGATTGACATATGTCTCTATGTGCTTTTGAAATGAGATTTCTACTGTTCCTAAAATTGCCGGTGTGATAGATCCAATTGCAGTTATTATCCTTTCCTTCATATTTCGTACTGTTGTTGGTGTGTCTATAAACAATTTTCTTCACATATCTCATAAAAAAGAAATCCATTTTTGTATGATCTGGAGGTCTAGCGGGTCATTTAGTGGGTCCATTTCTCCCAATCCATTGAAGTGCGTAGGTGTTATTTAAGTGGTCTCTAACTGCATTTAAATAATGTGGTGGAGCACCATCTTGCTGAAACCACATCCTATTTCGAATCCTTTCGGGAAGATTCACCAATAGTTGTGACAGATAGTTTTCCAGTAAATGAAGATAAATAGCTCCAGTCAATGTACTATCAATGGAATGTGGCCCTATTATATGTTCTCCAATAATTCTTCCCCAAACGTTTATAGTCCATCTGTCCTGGTTATCAACTTGCCTAAAACATGTTCTAAAGCATAATAATGGAAATTGTGCCTATTAACAAATCTATTTTTATGAAAAATTGCCTCATCAGTGAATAAAACATTACTGAAGATGACATCTTGCATTTTATCTCTAGCCCAATTACAAAACTGTACACGCCTTTGAAAATCGTCATCGGATAGGTGTTCCTAGTGTATTTGAATATGATATGCAAGAAACTTATTTGTTTTTAAGATTCCACCAACAGACTACTTATTCCTACTAATAAGCTTACTTCTCTCTGACTGATATGGGGATTCTCAACCGTTGCCAGCACCACAGAAAACTCATTTTCTTCGTTTCATTCTTTTACTTTTTTATACATTATATATTTCCAGTTTACACAAATCTATCGGGAAGGTTTTGCAAGCTGCTAACATCAGGAATCGTTTTTTCAGGATACCTTTGCTTGTAAATTCAAGCAAACAATTTCTGTCTGACTCGCCCAAAAAAAAAAGTCATGTCTACAAGTTCCACTTTATTAAAATTCATTTTGTAAAATTCCAAATATTTTAAATTTAATACAAATGATAACTGACGGCCGATAAGTGCGTTAAAGTTCGTTTGTAGAAAATAATTTATACTAAACTGAGGTTTTATTGCTTGCTGAATAACGAAAAACAGCAAAAAAATGTACAAAAAACATATTACAGTGAGGGACAAGTTAAATACGATTTACCCACTTCAATGGATTGGAAGAATTGATCCCACTAAATGGCCTTATTTCGAAAGAGTAAATAGTATATAACGACCAACTAACAATAACAACACTGAAAGGAATTTAATATAAAACATCACATAGGAACTCGTCAAATAGGTAGTATGCTCCATTCCGCAAAATATGTTTATTCCTAAGTTTAAATTGTTTTTCTGGTAACTGCTTGATGTTTTGTGGTAACTTTTTAAAAAAATTTGGACCATAGTAGTTTATTGCATTCTGGCTTTTAACTAATCTGGTGTAGTCTAAACAAACTTAATCTCTGTGTATTGTATTCATGTATTTCTCTGTGCGAGACATATTTGTTGATGTTTTGTTTAACATGCATGAGCGCCGTAGAATATAATAACTAGGAACTGTTAAGATATTTAGCTATATAAATTTTTGTTTTACATCTTGTCTAAACGTCGAACGTATCATTATTCTTATAACACGTCTCTGCAGTGAGTATATTCTATGTAAATGAGAGGAGTGCCCTCAGGTAAGTATAGCATAAGAGAAAACACTTTGAAGTGAGGAAAAATAAACTGTTTTTATGACATTTTCAAGCAATTCTGCCATTAAGTTCCTTATCAGATATACAATTTTGGATAGTTTACCACATAGATAGTCAACATGTTGATCCCAACTTAAATGTGGATCCATGATTACTCTTAAAGTTTTATCGTTTTTGGGATTGTCAAAATCTCTGGTAGAAACAAACATAATTTGTGTCTTCAACTTATTAAGTTGCAATTTATTTGCCATAAACCAGTCAGAAGCTTTCAACTGTGAGAGCTGCATATCCTGCAGTAAATTATGGTGGTATCATCGGCGAATAAAACTAGTGAGGTGTCATTTACATGATTAGGTAGATCATTAACTTATATTAAGAATAATAGGGACCCAAGTACGGAACCTTGAGGTACTACGAATTTTACTTCTGTTGATGACTATGATATTCCATTATATACAGTTATTTGATCTCTGTCTGTAATATATTTTATGAAGTTTATAGCTGTAGCGTTTAGCCAATATTTTTTTAAGTTAATCAACCAGGATATTATGCTGCACACAGTCAAATGCTTTCGACAAATCGCAGAAAATAATTCCAGCAAAACTTTTATTTTCAAATGCCGCTATTATACTTTCTACCATTTTGTTTATTGCATCAGTTGAAGATTTGCCAGAATGAAAACCAAATTGACAATTTGACAGAAGATTATTATATTCAAAAAAAGTAACGAGTTGCTGAAAGATGATTTTCTCTATTATTTTTCCCAGCGTAGGTATTATTGATATAGGTCGATAATTGTTCATTTCATTCACATGGCATTTCTTAAAAAGTGGAATTACTTTTGATGTTTTTAGGCACTGTGGAAAAGTTTCACTATTTATATATGAGAACCAATTTTGTAAGAGGAATAGTAATAATAATAATGTCTGGTACGTATTTTATAATGGTAATATTCATGTCATACACATCTTTACGCGGATTATTTTTAATGTCTTTTAAAAGATTGCGCATTTCGATAAAGAAATCTCTGAAAAACTAAAGCAGTTTTTATTTGCACTATTTGTTTTAACTAGGCTGATAAAATTTGTAGTACTAGATATATTTTTTGTAGTTTCGAAAGCAACATTTGCCAAAAAAATATATTAAAGTCATTCGAATTTAAATTAGAATCACTAATAGTACTCTTTTTATTTACACGTTTAGAATTTACTGTATTCCAAGACGACTTTGACATAATATAAGATTAAAGTATAAAATTACAGGCAATACCAATGTGCATTTTTTTTTTATTAATAGGATATATTATTTTTTGATTCATAAACGACACCAAATAAAATATTCGTATTTCTTACTAATAAAAAAAACGCAATAAGTACTGCCTGTAATGTAATTTGTATATTAAATCCATGTTTCGTTCACATCAATAGAAAAATTTTAACAGCTATTTAAAGTTTTATGATGGCAATCCTGGCTTGCGGCTGGAGGGTGACAAATATTTTTGTGGGTGCGTTGGTATTAGTAATATATACTTTTACTCTTGCGATGGCTTGTTAAAAACACATTTGTGTTTGTAGTGTTACAATCACCAATACTTTTAACTCTTATCCTTCTAACCTTCTAAAATTAAATTTTTAAAAGAAAAAAATACGGGTCTCTTATTTTTTGGTCTCACATGTGCTTATAATTTGGCATCCTCTTTTAGAATCACCCTATATAATGTATCTGAAAAATTAACATATAATTTCGTTAGTACTATTATACACTATAGATTTCTGTTTAATACCAGGACACACCTATTGTATTTAAAAAAACGCAGTGGTTATAGAAAATATTGGGAAATTTATAATGAACAAATGAATCTAAATATTTATGTAATAATATATCTATAAAGAAGAATAATACTTTGTGATTTGAAAATTTAAGTTACTGGAAAAATTTCACGGATAATTAGAACAAGTACATTCAGTCGACTATGTGGTGTAGTTGGCTAGAGCGCGCGATGGCAATTGTCACTATAAAACTTTCTATCGTAGCTGTGGGTTCGAATCCCATCACCGGCACTGTCAATGTCGGTGGGAATGATTATATATCCACGTTTTTCTAAGCGTAATCCCCTTCTAAACAGCTTCGGTTTTGGATTTTGGGAGTTGTCTAATTTCTGTGGTGTTTATTATATATTTGTATTGTATAAAGCAAAATTTATAGAGATTGTTTTGTCAAAATTTAAGTTTTACAAACATAACTTACACAATTTTTAAATAGCCAATGATATTTTGTATTTTTTTTTGCTATTAATTATATAAATATAGCTGCGAGTAATGGACATTCTGTAAGTTTAATCGATAAAATAATTAGGAAACGAAAATTTGAAGTCGCTTCGAAATTCCTTGACTTTTCAAAATGAAGAAGAAAATCCGAAATTTGTATCGATTCCATTAGATCCTCGATTCACCCGTGGCATTGATAAGATTTTTTAAAGATGTAGATATGACAGTGGTTTATTCATTGGGAAACAAACTACAACAACTTTTAGGCAAACCAAAAGACAAAAATTGAAATAAACGAAAAGTCGGGAATTTACAAAATTACCTGTAAGGACTTGTAATCAAATATATGTTGGATTGACTAGAAGATCAATTCAAACTAGATTCAAAGAACATCTCAAATATGGTAAAACAAATGTGTTGCCCAGTGCTTTGAGAATAACCATAAAATAGACATTCTCAATTTAAGATTAATTAGGAACTAGTATGAATAATGACAGAGGGCCTATCCCAAATAGTCCGCTTTACTGGTTAGTGGGTCACGGTTCACCTGAACCTTGACAATAGTTTAGGTATAAATAGGGTAGATATTAGCATACGTATAGGTTTAATCATCTCGAGATGACGCCAACTTAGTTGGCGAAACGCGCGTCGAATGCAGTATATAGTGTTTTGGTGTTTCGTGGTAAACTACGTCAGTGTTATGTTTCTTGCCATGTTGAAATATATACTACTATACCTGCATAGGGTAGAATTAATATCATTACAGATCATTAATATAAATGAGGAAATTAGTGGCCCTAAAATTTTACCCTGGGGCACACCTTAACTACGAAATGTCTACATTCATTATCATCAGTTTTTACATTCTATCGATAAGTATGTCTTATGCTTATATACGCCCAAACACTCCAACAAAAATACCGACTTGAAATTTTCTATTTCAGAGGGTTACATCATTTATATGTGGGAATTACTATTATTATAGTATACTGTACAACATGTCATAACAGAATCGTACAGGGAGACGCATTAAAGACCTTTGGTCTTCATTTCGTACAACTACAATCATATATTGACAAACATAATTAATATTAAAAGAGCTATTAGTCGGTTTCAGCGCTCACCGATTAACTCTGCTGTAAATTTTGCGGTTCAGCACTTTATCTTTGATTACGAAATGATGAGAAATGCACACATGGCATTAAGTTCTTAAATGCGTAATCACGTCCCCAATAATAAATACCGCCATTACGCTGCATGTATGCTGGAGGTGCTATTGGCTCCCGAGGGTCTCGCATACACCAAACTTTGTAACTACTAGTGACAGTGGCGGTCTGAACGTCTAATGCCGTTGGGAGAACACTCTGCTACGTGCTGCTTAGGCAATAATATGCTTAATTGATGGATACCGGCACTATATAGCATTACACCATCTACGTACAACAGGAATGGGGTAAGCTTGAAACTATGTTCGCATCAGAAACACTCAAGCGGTGGTTTAAGGCGTTATACCAATAAAATAAACCACTCATCGTCAAATTGTAAAAACCTGCTTAACGTAGGAAGTTCTCGGACTAACTTTGATCAATGATCCCTGGACAATTCGATATTAGATTGAAAAATTCCTGGTGAATATTCACCAGCAAAACGTTTATAACCTATCAGATTGTATCACAAACAATCAATTGTATAAAATATAATACGTATAACCTCAAATTTTACTTCACTAAAATATGCGAATACATTATAAAAAAATTGTTAGTCCAGTCGATGTCTGTCTTGACTTGCGTAGTTTTCAGGTGCACTTTTCTTTTTTTCCAGAAAACTTTAAATATTAAATATTATTTAAAAACAAATTAAGTTCCTCTTCTTGATAAAAGTTAAAATATAGAGTGGAATGAAGAAATAATATTAACTGAAAATTTTTTGTTAATTATTATTTACTAACTTTTACAAATCTTATCACAGATAATTATAACATATATCTTTTTAAACAATTATTTTCTATATATAATATAATAACATTATTAGTCAGCTGTGCCAAAACGCTGAAACTTGAATTATAAAAAAATAATTAACAAAAAATTTTTAGATAATTTGTACTCTGAGCCATTATGTTTATTACATTGGTTTACAAGTTTCACTTGATTCTTTAAATGTGCTGGCTACCCTGATGATCTATGGCAAGCAGAAACGGTCGGTAGATATTGTTATTTATTTTGTTTTTATATATAAATTAAAAATAACATTATTGAGTCAGTTGTACTGAACATAATTACATATTATCTTTTTTGTAATCCAAGTTTCGTTTTGGCAAATAGCGGGAAAATAATTTTAAAAAGATATATGTTATACTTTTGTGATTTGTAAAAGTTAGTAAATAATAATTAACAAAAAATTTTCAGTTAATATTATTTTTCATTCCACTCTTAAATATTATGATGTGCTTTAAGTTTTTGACATTTTACTGCCTTCTTAAAAACAATGTGAGAGTCGCATCAATTGCAACATTTATATTATGATATATATCATTGGAATGAACAAATCATTCAAGATTTAGAACATTTAGCATAATTTGCATTACTTTGTTTCAGATATACTACTTCTTGGTGAGTTAAATACAAATTGTAGTCGCAATGCTCATCTCGAAAATTTCAAATGCTTGAGAGATTATTTCGATGACCTCTTTACCGGGTATCATTTTTGAAATTCTTTCGTTTCTGTTGACAGTACAAGCTTTATATTTTTCTTTTCTCGGATCATTTTTTTACGCATTACTTTAATATTTTTGTTGTTTTCTTTATTTTAAAGTGAAAAACATGTGGAAAACAAAAAACTCAATAAAGAAAAGTTTCATCAGGAGTTCAAATCGATTTGTGTAATACAGTTTAAAAAATTCATATTTGGGCAGTCATTATGAGGCAGAAAGAGTATTCAAATAATAATATCCTGTGACTCCATCTTCAGAAAATACTTGCAGGATTTAGTGGAAAAATTCGCGCCGGTTGGAATGCTCTACATCTAGATAAAGGTATTCTACTGATTCAAGTTGTTGATATGAATTCGGGTGAATTTTGAACAAACAGTGTCAAAAATAGATGAGATTTGTGATGTGCCTCGTTTGTGTGGCTCGAAAAACCATTTGTTCCTCAATCTCATGAATAATATTCATAACAATCACTTTTGATAAAATTTGGATTCATAAATGAAAACGATAAAAAAACCGCTGCCAATTACTTGGTGATCAGAACTTCCTCACCGTAGTAAAACTCGACGTGTGGTGGAGTTTAGAATAAAAGTAATTTTTGACGTTTCAAAAAAGGCATATTTTTTTGACGTTTCAGAAAAGTCACATTTTGATATTTCAAAAAAGTCACATTGGTGGAATGTCACTAATATTATTTTTAGACATTGGGACCGATTTTGCACATCAATGAACTCAATCTCTTCCTTGACCTCTAGTGTGTACCAAATTTGAATGCTTTATCTCAAAAACTGTAGCTGCTATCACGAACCATACAGACACACAGACACAGACAGAAAATTTGTTCTGTCTGAAATTTTGTGTATCATCATAATTCGTCGAGATTCGTCCAGAAATGCAATAAAAATTTTCAAAACTTTTTTTCATAAATACATAATTTCCTTACTTTGAGGGGTGAAGAAGTAAAAATATTTCTTTACCATTTTATAGTATTTTGTCAAAATCGTGGACTACTGAATACAAGCTTTTATTGAGGACAAATACCAAAAATTCCAGAAGAGGGCCGGTTTTTGTCTCTGTGCTACTAGAGAGCTACGACAACGTTAATATCATTAACATAAACCTTTGTTTTAGGGCATGTTAAAAAAACTGTTAATTGTTAATAAATTTGGTAGAAGAAAACATGGGGAGCAGCCTTTGATTAGTTTTTGGCTAAAATAAAACAATTTTTGGGTTATTGAGGGCCTAATTATAAAAAATTCGTCTAAATAGATCATAAATAAGTTATGAATACAATTTCAGGCGCATCCCTTATACATTGTTTTGTAGGTAGTGGAAGTAGAAAGTTGTGTAAAATTAAATTGCCAATGGAAGAAGATTGGATAAATATCGGTTTGTACTAACCAGATATTAACTGCTTGTTCGTGGTTCGTCGAATCTACACCACTTTTATTTTTACCATTTTATTATTTAATGAGGTGAATTTACATTCTAAAACATTTTTGAATAATTTAAATTACCTGTTATTGAAATTTAACACAACTTGTGCAAATTACTGCAATTATTTTTATTCTTTATTATCTTTTTTATTTTATATTTTACTATAATGGTAACATTTTACATCCTTTCTATTTACATAGTTTTATAGTTAAGTAAATATAGCACCAAAATTAATGATATATACACAACGGTATTTCAAAAATAATAGTTATTTGCTTCTTTAGGTGCGTACTAATTGGGTAGAATAATTTTAGTGTTACGGAAATCAACAGTTAATTAAGTTTCTTTATGGAAAAATGTACAAGAAACTGTGATAAGGGTATATTTTAATTTTAAAATATCCTCGATACTAAAGTATTTCATTTAATTTAATTTTGCTTTGTCGAGGAGCTTTCATAAAGAAAGCTTAATTTACTTTAAGGCTTTAAGCTACCCCATCTAATTGTGCATACCTTCAGCTTTTTGTCTGAGGATGTATATATAATCATATGAACGTTATTAACACAATGTTCTAGACAAATTCTTAACATGCTTTTTTATCTTTAATAACATCGCATTTATAAAAGAAAATTGTAAAGCTGTAAGCTTC